TAAATCTGCGATTTTTATCATGTGAAAGACAAATGTGGGGAGAGTAAAACTTTGCGATTTTTATCATTCAAAAAAGACAAATGTGGGAGAAGTAAAACTTCGCTACATTATTCTGAATATGAATCGATCAAACTGGTAAGCTTTTGCTATAGATTTTGATCAGAGGTTTTTGAAAAAAATTTCTCAACTAGCTATGATTTTCAATTTATTCAATTGATAGCGAAGGCATCTCTCTGTTGATCTATGCAAGACCGACCCTTCTACTCTATTTCATTTAGAAGTTATAAGAGTTTTATTGAAAAATATCAGAAAATAACCCTTTACAATGCTTAAAGTTTTGCATAGACTGAATTACAAAAATCGTGATCTAACAACTTCTCATCACATTGAAACTAAGAACAAATACTACGATTCGACTTAGCGTTGTTGACTACTCCAAACTCAATGCAATTGAGAGTGACCAACGGTGAGTTACCCGATTTCAAGGCTTTCAGTAAAACTTTTATAATTCCTAAATGGAATAGGGTAGAAGGGTCAGCCTTGCGTCGATCACCAAAGAAATGCCTTCGCTATCGAGTGAGTAAAATGAAAATCACAGCTAGTTGAAAATTTTTTTTTCAAAAACTTCTAGTCAACATCTATAAAAAAGCTTACCGGCTTGATCAATTAAATGTTAAGGATAATGTAGCAAAGTTTTACTCTCCCCACATTTGTCTTTCACATGATAAAAATCGCAGATTTATAATTGGTTTCATCCTCGAGATAATTAAAAATATTGAGATGCATTATATTGTGGTACCGACAATATTTTCAATTGACTCATATAAAACAATTATACCCTGTTTTGCGGTGCATCAGTAAGACAGACATACTACTACAATGCAAAATCGTGCACGTTATCACAAAAAAAAAACAAATGTAATGCGTCGTGTCCTATTTTTTTTTCTTTTCACATTTTTACTTCTTCTCTCTCTTGTTCTGTTTTGTTTTTCGATCTCTTATTACGCTTTATCCTTGTTGCTGCTTATTAGTACGCTTCTCTTTTCCTCTCTTCACGATATCTTATGTTATTCTATTATTTGCCTCTTTAACATCCCTACGAGGGCAAGTCAATACTCAGCATACTAATATTGATGACATTGTAAAACTTTTTGCATTCATGACGTAGTTTCGCATTTAAAAATATCCATTTGGTTTTTTTATCCTGTAAACACTTGCGCTTGTTACATTCAGTAGCATAAAAAAACTGATCGGGCATGGTTTTTGCCGACTACATTTCTTTTTCTTGCGCTCCTTGTCTATAATGAAACCCTATAATAAGAGGGAGAAGAAAAAAGCGCAAATGTCGACAATTCTGTTGTAGACAAAGTGAATTAACGCATACTACACGCTTTATCTTCCTATTATAACACACGTTTCTCTACGAACAACAACAAAATGGCGTCATCATCACAGCCATGTGCCATCAGCGGGTGTAAACGTCCGTCTCGGGCTTTGTGCAATTGTTGTCAACAATATTTGTGCCGTGATCATTTGAAACAGCACGATGATTTAATTGATGCCCAACTGCCACTTTTAGCCGATCAAATCAATGCTCTCTCGGATCAATTCAACAACAGTACTTTGTTAGAATCATCTGGTCTCACCGAACTCAAGCGCTGGCGCGATGATGCTCATAAAACAGTGGATCAATTCTATGAGAGAAAATGCGGACAATTTGGACAGTTTGTTCAAGAAAAACAAGATAAACAAAGAAAAGAACTTGATCGAATGCGCAGCAATCTGAACGAATTAATTCGAGAACAAGAAGCAACACAAATACAGATTGATTCAATGACAGAATCTATTCGATCTCTCGAACAAGATGTTAACAACCTTCAACATGTTCATTTCAACATTAATCCATTAGTAATTGATGACAATCTCATTTCCATTCCGCAAGAAACAACGGCAAGAGATCTGTTACCTGTATCATCTTCACATCAAACAATGCAATCAACATCGGACAAAGTAGCTAGTAATGATAAACATCTGCTAGCACATCAAAAACGTAGCACATGCTTCCCAGGTAAGCAACTTAATAGATTTCATACTGAAGACAAAAACAAACAGTAGCGTGTCACATCTACAAGTAACGAAAATATGATTTACTAGAAGGCAAGATTTCTAGAGAACTTTGGATTTGTGCACTTCATGCTGTACATTAAAAACATCAGTACTTGTGGGGGAAGAGAACTGTAATGTTAGGGGAGTAGAAAATTTTCAGATATAAATCAACACTCACTATTTTAATAGTGAATTTTGAAAAGCAGAAAAGGGAAAAGATGGAGAAAAAAAGCAATCAGCAAAAATAAACTCTAAAATTGATGGTCTCTTATGTGATGGCGATTTTCGGCCCCAATGCACAGTCCGAAGAAAAAGCACATATAAAGGGGTTTATATAGTAAACTTTGCTGTGTCGAGTGATATAAGAATGTAGTAGATTTAGTCATATTTTTCCTTCAAAGTTCGAAGAAAAAAAATGTAACAAAAATTGAGGTTCATGGCACATATCTGGTCTACTGAAACAAGTTAGAAACCTAAATAAATAAATGACTTCTTTCAATCAAGTTGATATTTTGGACATATGACAAAATTATTTTGCACTTTCTAGTCGGATAGTCAATTTTGAGGTCGAAAAACTATTGGCAGCAGAGTCCTACAAATTGAGTATTGGTCTCATTGGTTCTTTCTTACATTCTGCATTCGATGGAATGAGAATCAACATTTCATATGGCAAGTCTGACTTTCGAAAACATTATTTGTCAAACAGCACCAGCTGTTAGGTCAAAGCCTCCTTTTTCCTGAGCCAGAACATCAGAAACCTTGAAAGAGTCGTGAAACACACAGAGCACAGAAATCTTTATCTATGAATGATAAATAACTTTCTCTCTGTATCAATCTCGATTAGAAAAGGCTTGAGAAAATCGATAAATGTCTTCATGAAATAGGAAAACATACATGCACCATTCAGTAAGTGATGATCTTGTGAGTTTTAAGTTCACAAGACTTGTTAAAAATAAATTTCAACGTAATCCGCATAGGGTTAAAACTTAAAACATAATGGATCTGTTACACTGTTTAAGGGATACACTACTGATGTCGATCATGTTATCCTAGTGGGTCAGATAGACTAAAATATCGAAATACTTCTCTTGGTCTGTGATTGTGTAGGGAGTTTTGTCCATTCTACATGTCTATTACGATCTGTGTGGGGAGATCACTTCTCTCGCTATATAATTTAACATATTTTCAATTATATCTCATACAATACTATCGACAGTCTTATAGAAAAATGCATTCTATATCGGACGAGCTCAAAATCAAGTTTTAAATTACTTTTAACCAACTCAATGACAGAAAGCACAAGTTTCCCATAATTTCTCTCTCATCCATTACTTTTAAGAAAAGTTATTTAGCTTGATAGTGCTTTATGGATTAATATGACAACGAAAATTTTATTTTCGATATTATATAAATAATCTTGCTTGTTGATTTCTTTTTTCATGTTTATTTTCAAGAATACAATTAAATAATGTACGTCGAGTTAGTGATGGAAATAGAGTTAATTAGTTGTCATTCTAGATAAATCTAATCCAAAATCAATGAAACTGACAAGATGGGAAATCGAAGAACAAGCAACTGGAATCACGGATGCAATGAGAGTAAATATATTGAACATAATTAGTACATCTATTGATTCACATGGAACCTCAGAAATTCAGCAAATAGCTAAAGACATTCAAAACTGGCTTAATGAAACTTATGGAAAAAGTTGGACTGTAGAAATTGGTGATGCACGCAACTATCAGCCTTCTTACACTCGTTTGGGTTCTAGATACTTATTGAAGGTCCAAGAAACAAGATTGGGATGGACTATTCTTATTTTTAAAGAAACAACATCATAAAAACACATGAAACGATTGATTATATTCATAGAATATGTATCATTATGATCTTCTTGATAAGATCGACAATAGTATGTTCTTATCCTTTTACAATGATTCGAAAATAAACTAACATATTGAGTAATCATGAAAGAGGCAAATAAAATTCTGATTTCTAGATTTCGTCTTACGTACATGAGTGTGTTTATCTTTGATGAATTTCACTTCTGAGATACTCAAGTTTAGCATATTTTTGTCTCGCACTGGTTTAGTATTAGTCTTAACAGTTGTGAATATGTTGGTATTCGCTTCTTCGAGAGATCAATGATCTTTGACGTTGATTCAAGTTGATAGTTGATTGTTGCATTTTATTTAGCTTCCGAGTTTATTGTAGTTAAAAGAAATGGGTCAACTTTGATCACTTCACTTGTATGCAAATTGGAGAATTATTGTTCAGCACTATTGCACGCTAAAGATTCGAACGATGTGTCACTGACATTATTATTGATCATTAAGCAATGTGTTTCTTTTAAACTATATTAATATCAGTTAAAGTAAAGTAACGATTTCAGAAAGTAGATAACCAACTTCATATTACACCGTAAATGATCAATGGTGAGTCTGGGTGTGGTAGAAATGAAGATTGATATCCACACTCACTCCTAATACTTTCTAGCATTTATATGGGCTATTTCAATATCTTGTAGGTGTACCCAAAAAGATAAACTACTTTTATGTTTGGTCATAAAAAAAAGTGACTCGTGACATTCATCAATCAACAATAATGTGCATCGTCTGTATAATGAAACCTTTCGCACATATTCCGTTTGAACGCTTTTTCTCTCTTTACAATCTAGAATAAATCATACGCTAGTAAAAAAATCATTACAACGGTTTTATTTCAGGTTAATTTCACTTTTTAAATTGTAGGGTAAATACGAATGATACTATTCAATTATTGATTAGACCTATCTTTTCGTTTCATCTGTTAATTCTATACTTAAAATCAAACTAAATTCCAGTAGATTAATAAAAATGATATCGAAATAGTTTTTATGCATTTTGGAAATTTTTCACGTAATATTTATTTCATTCGGAGAGTTTTATCTTATTTGTTCAAACAAATTTAAATTAAAAAGTATTAGATTTTAAGTTATAAATACACTGCTGTGAATAATTATAGAATCAATATCGTTGTTTCGTTGTTTTCGCATCTAGAAAACTTCAGTTTTGCTTGAAAGTCACATATACAGATAGAGGAGTTTTTGTTGAACATTTTCATAAGAAAAAGTCGGACAAATCGTCTATATTTGATATAAAATGACCAAGCCAAAATCGCTTGGAAACACTACCTAAGTTCAGAATTTTAGCAAGAATACTTGAAACACACACTATCATTTTTTTGCAAAGAGTCATGCGATACCAAAATGGGCAACAATGATGTGTGACGATTTTTAATTGTTTTCTGTACTTTTTTCATACATACAAGTGGTATCTGTTTTGGCACAATATGTTCCTCCGCCACAATGCTATTTGCTGAGTTCCCGAGCTTCTTTTTTTGTCACAAAAAGTGTATGCTATTCATATCTACGGGGAAATATACCATCGCCAATCTTCCTTCTCGCCAATTGTACTTTTCGCCAACTGGCGAATATCAACTAGCTTTTCGCCAATTGGGGAATTTCGTGGGGAATTTCGCCAATTGACGAAAGCACTATGGCGAAACAAAAAGTTTATAGGCGAATTTCACACTAGAGATTCGCCAAATTGACGAATTTCACACCAGAGATTCGCCAAATTGACGAATTTCATACTAGAGATTCGCCAATTGGCGAATATACTAATTCAAAAATAAATATTTATTGACGCATTTCACACTAAAGATTCGCCAATTTAAATCAATTGAGTTGTAACTCAACTGTAGTACTTGATATTGTTACCGATCCAACTGAATTAGCTCAA